AGGAACACTAGAAATCGATTCTGGTCCAGAGGAATAACTTGTGGGAAACTGTTGGGCCACCGCTGCAGTGTCTGAAATGGGTGGACCAGAAGAACATAATGTTCTGGACTTCTCTAGAATATTCTGTTTCTGGGCTGTGTTTGCATGCACTTTCTCAATGAAGGGCAGGAAAGTGATCAGGGGCTTGAGAAGGACTGAAATAATAAGACCCTGCAAGGTCTGTAGTGCCAGAGGGACCTGGGACAGATCGGATGACTGATTCGTGCTGCTTCTAGTGGAGCACTCATCCTGAGGCAGGGTTGTGGAAAAACTCAGCTTTAAGTGTTCCAACATTTAAAGAAGAAATAGTGAGGCTGTTGTCTAGGAAAAGGAATAACTCTTTGTAAACAACAAACTGCACACAGATGATGATAATGCATCATCCCTTAAATGTAGCATTTTTTACAATGGATTTCAAGTTTCATTCACCTTTCAATGGTCTTGTAGTTAATTCTTACAAAGAACCAGATAACATGATTCAGGTTTATTACTGTCACTGGAGCCTATGGCTTGAAAGAGCAGTGGCTTCCTAGGGCCCCCCAGAGAGCCCATGGATGACATGACACATCCCGGTTTGGGCAGGATCCATTCCAGCCAAAGGAGGCACGATTTTGGAGAGCAGGCACTGCCCATTCCACTAAGCTGCTGTGCTGAGTTGAAGCATGGGCATCGTACAGAATTCCAGGTATATTGTTTGAGCCCATGTGAATACTTCAGGAATGATTTTATTTCCTATTTCAAATTTTTTGGAAATGCCTTGATTCACCCTGGTTTTGCTTCTGGCTCTGATCATTTATGGAGTCAAATTTTGTGCTGAATAAATTATACTGCACTGGTATATTTATTTATTCAGGCGGATTAAGGAAGTCATATCCAATTTCCAAAAATCCAGGTTGCCTTATTTGCATGCTATCCAATTTGCTTGCAGATTATGCAAATCAAACGTTTGTGTAACATGTGTCACTTGCTACCAGTTGTTTTCGGTCTAGTGGTACGCACTAGAAACAAATTCTGGGGTGCAAGCAGTGGAAAGACATCTTATTTAGTGGGTCTACCATGAAAGAGTTGCCTAGTTCACAACATGAATTCCTTCTAAGCTGGATAAACTAGCATGGAAAGGATCGTATTTCAGTGTACGGAATTTGCTTTTTTGTCAGAAAAAGCCAAGACTCCAGTGTCTCCAATTATAAGACCCTGCAGCATCTATTGCCGGTCAATGGTAATTTCATTTTAGAGGAAACTGGCATTTCAGGATTCCAGAGAAGGCCTTATTTCTCTCCCAGATGCTGAATCCATGATAGACACATGCTAAAAGCAAGCATCCTTCATGCTGGCTCAATGAAAAGGAAAGGCCTACACTAAGAGGTTTGACTGGCCAAGTTAGCAAGAAGCGGTTGAGATTTATTATTCATCGTTCCACATCTTCTCAGTAACAACAGTTTATTAAGTCTCAAAAGTTGCTATAAAGGAAATTATACAGGAGTGTTTTAATAATCTTGATTCCATCAAACCTACCCAGTATTATTTCTTGCATTACCTTAATAAAGTTGGGCCATGCCATGCTTAGCCTTGCAAAGAGAGACTTGAAGGGGGATACATCAACCCTCTTCAAAATCTGAAAGGAAATCACAGGGAAGATGATCCAAACTGTGCAGAACACAAAACAATGGATTTAAATTACAGAAAAGCAGATTTGATTAAATGTTGGACTCAGTGTGTGTCACTGACCCCAATGGCAGTGGAACTAATTCTCCAGAGACATGCTGGTCTTCTCTTCATTAGACGTGTACAGGCAGAGGCTGGACGGTCATCTGTCCGGTATACTTGCATTTGGATTCTTGCGCTGAGCATGGGGTGGGGCTTGATGGCTTTTGGGGTCCCTCCCAGCTGTAGGATCCAGGTATTGCAGGACTGAATCACAAATAGTAAAGACTTTTATATGGATAGATGCCTGAAAGCTTGTTTCAGAAACAATGGTCAGCTGGAAAAATGCATGAACAAGAATGTGCCAGAAGAGGGAAGAGAACTCTCTTTTCCCTATTCTCCCTTATAGCCAGGAAGATAAATAAAAGTGAGGTTAAATTCACTTCAACAGATTTATGGCTTGACATTATGTGTGAAGTAGGAATTTTGATTAAAAGAAACTTGCTAAGGAAATCTTGGCTTGCTTCTCTACTTCAGCATTACTGAACTCCAGGTTTCTAGACTGGAAGGCAGCCCTTTCTTTCCCCATGTGGGCCCCTAATTTCTTACAGTGAATCTGCTCTAATGCTGGACCAGGTATTTTCTTGGGTCAGGCACAAGGCGCAGGACCATAGCAGTATTGGATCCAGTGCTTCTTGCATCCTGTTTCCTGCCTCCATAATCAGGATTTCCAAAATTCAGAAAGAGCCAGCCATGGATTGGGCGTAGGCATCCAGCATGGGGTGCCTCATCTCTAGAGAGTGTGGTCCATAGAATTGCAGACTAAGATTGCTCTTTGATGATAGTTCCTGGTTCTCGTTTAATGACAAATCAAGACGCTTCTAAAATGAAATGAAATTCTGCTTTAGCCATCTTTCTGGTCACACGAGAAGAGCAGAGGGGTAGTATGTGAGGCAGAGGCTTTGCACAAATTCACTTGTGCTCATATACAAACACTGAAAATACAAATTAGCATGATGTGCAAACCATACCAGTCATTGATTTGTGTATTGTATAGTTCGTATTCACAGTACTACATGGTGAATAAAATGCTGGGTGGCTGATTGTTGAGGACTGCCTTCAGACTGGATTAGCTTGAATATTTAGAGGTGCTGTACAAATATGAAGTATTATTACTGGGTAATTATTCGCTAATAATTTAATGATTTTTTAAAATTTCAGAATATTCAAGTATTATTCAGGTAATATTCTTTCTAACTGTTAAGATATCACACAGTGACACATCAAACTAATTGTATCTAACAGCATTTAAAAAAACCTACAATGAACATTTTAGAAAGCTGTCCTGACATCCTTTCTAAAAGGGGAGTGAGGACCACTCCCAACTTCAGAGAGTGAATATTCTGCCGCTTGGGACACTATCGGAGGAAGCAGTTTCTCATCTGCTCCAGCACTTGGGTCCCCTGTAGCCTGGCTCACAAGGGAACAGGCGGCCTTTCAGAAAGTTTTAAAATTAAGTTCAGCAGGTCATTGAACAGAAAAGGATGAGCAACCAGCCCGTGTCTTGCAGTATTGTTCCTGAGATGCAAGACATGACCACAAACCCATGTACCTAATTCCAGTGGTGGGGCTTTCTCACTTGCCCCAGTTGAAACTTGGGATGTGCTTCATAGAATTGGCTGCTCTGAGTCATGATGAATGTCAGCAGCCTTTGTTAGTTCTGAAAAATTCTGTTTTTTTCATGCACTTGTAGTTGCTAAATGGTGCTTCTCTAGCAGAGGTGATGCTTCCTGCAAGGACATTCCCAGCTGTCCATCTTAACCTTTCCGGTTTTTGACTTTTGGGGATGCTTGTTAACGTTTGCTTAAAGTGAGATGCCCTTCTGCTTCAACCCAGAACCTCAAAGGTCAAATATCTGGGCATTTCTGAAGGGCACATAAATGGGCACTCCTTTTGCCATTTTACTTTCTGAGGAGGCTGTTATTGATGTGGAGATAAAACACTGCAGAGCAGTGGTTTTTCTGTTGGTGGCTGGGAGTTATGAGAATGGAAGCACCTGATCCTAGAGCTGCCATTCCAGTGTGTTCAGACCAGTTCTAAATACTTCCTTGGTCAGGTACATGCAGGGGCCATCCAGTGCTTCTTGCCTCCTGTTCCCTCTCTTGCCTGCTTGGAGGGTTTTGCAAGATCAGAAGGAGGAGGGGACTTCCACACGCATGTTGCCTCAGCTTCAACAGGAAGAGCTGAGAGGCTGGGAGTTGAGAAAGCCCCCGCAGCTCCAGCAGTGATACGTTCTGCAGCTGGAGCCGCGATGGGGCCTAGAGTGGGCCAGCCCAGCTGCAGAAATGCTGCTGTAGACCCTCCGCGTTTGGGAACATGAGTATGGTGCGAATCCCAGATCTGTATAAATGTTGTATGTTGAGTGGCCCAGTGTTGGGTAATGTTGTCAAACAAGCCGCCTCAGGCGTGGGTGTGATAGTACTCACATAGGCGTGTATATCTTCCGTGTCACAAGTAATCCTTGAAATGTGGGCCGGATGTTAAAAGCAGGTCTTTATTTTCGTCTACCAAAAGCTGAAAGGTGGCTTCATTTGTTTACTGATCAACTGCAGGTTTGAAACACAGTACACGGATAGTAACATGCAATTGTTGGATGGATAAGTTTGACATTTCACTGCAATAAAAACGTTGGGTTCTCATTGGACAGAACGGGAAAATACGTCTTCCTCTTGCCTCGTGAGCGAATACGTTCTTTTGCTGTGCTAAATTTACTTGGATTCCGTCGGTGAGCAACCGACGCCGGAGCCCTGAGAGCCCTGACTTCTCAGCCCTGTGAATGTGATTGGAGGCCTGGCTGAGATGATGCCTGGGTGGAGCGATTCCACAGCGCGAGGGTTTCCAAGTTGCATCAGAGAGAGAAGGTCAAGAGTGGGAGGCACCGGCGCCTGTGCTCGCTCGCCCTGGCTGCGGGGCTGCAGCGCGAGGAGCCCCGATGGCTCAGCGGCATGCTCCCGGAGCATGCGCTGCAGGGGGCCGCTGCCGGGCTCCTGTGCCGCTGGGGCTGAGCGGGTCACCGGAGGTGGTCCCGAAGACCCCCGCAGCAGGGGAAACCCCCTGGGCTTCGGGGAGGGCTTGGCTCGCGCGTGCCGCGAAGCGGGGACGCAGCCCTCTAGACGGAGCAGCGGAGAGGCGCAGGCCTTCCTCCTTTGAGCCTGCCGGGGTGTGGCTCCCTCCCCTTCCAGGGGGGAAAATCATCTTCCTGCCTCCTGCAGCAGGCCAGCCTGCTCTGACTCTGTGCAGTACCGCAGCCATCCTGGCGATGTACGTGCAATGTGCGGGAGGCATAATGGCCCCCACAGCTGTTCGGAGAGGGGAGGGGGGGGTCTGTGTCGGCTGAATAACTAGATCAGGGTTGCCTCCGCCGCGGCGGTCCCTCGCTTGGGCTAGAGCGCGTTTTCTTCTCGGCTCCTCCATGACTGCCTCTCCTCCTGCCTCGCCGTGCATGGTTTTCTCTAGGCGAATTCTGCAAACGTAAGTGCTTCCTTTGGGTGTCCTCCCCCTCCCCG